CAGCAGCATCCTAACCACTTCTGTCTTCTCCGTTTGTCTGCTATCTTCACCTCTTCTCTTCTGAAGCCGCCGCCTTTTTCTGTTTTGCCACCTTCTCTTCTCCTATGAAGCTTCTCCTCTTCTACCCTCTTCTGCCGTGTTCTCTTCCATATTGTAGCATTTTTCTTCTTCTCTGTCTCCTGCTTCACTCTTTCAGAGTGTACTCTTCTCTACTGCAGCGTCCTAACTGTCCATCCACTTCTGTCTTCTCCGTTTGTCTTCTATCTCTACCTCTTCTCTTCTGAAGCCGCTGCCTTTTTTCTGCTTTGCCGCTTCCTCTTCTTCTTGGGACATCCTGCTCTTTCCTCTTCTGGGACAATCTCTTTTCTTCTTCAGTCTTTCCGACTATTCTGTAGCGTTTTTCTTTTGTTCTGGGTCTGCTTCGCTGATCTAGAATCTAAAGCATTCTATTCTCTTCCGCATCGTCCTTCTTTTCGTTGCAAACTCTAATTTTCTTCTGCACCGTGCAACCTAACCTAACGATTGCGAATGTGCCACCGTCTTCAATAACAAATACCGATGGAACCCGAATAATGAAATCTCAGTGCTGAAAACCGCGTGAGACATATCAATTTCCCGACACGACGCGTTGGCTCTCTAATTACAAATTATCATCACCACACTCGGTAAGCGTGGAACATGATTGTCATTAAATATCACTATAGACGATCGCAATCATAACCGCGAATATAATTTGTCCATCGTCGACATTCGCGAATAAATCACGCGAGCCTTATCAATTTCCGGCCGCGACCCGTTGGCTCTCTGTTTCGGAATCTCGTCATCACACACGGTAAGTGTGACATACGATCGTTATGAAATTTCAGCGGTACCGCAACTGCAAATTTTCGCAAAACAGTTCGAATGCCTTGATCAAAATTAGAAATATGAAATTAAAATTGACTAACGGTGGCACAGACGCGTCCTTTTAGTCGCCTTTTACGACAAGCAGGGATACTATGGGCGTACTCTACTTCCCCCAGCCCATAGGGGGTGATTCGAGACGATAACAAATACAACACAAATGATACAATACAAATGTACAATACAATACCGATAAAATACGATAAACTGAATTTTTTAATTGTTTTTAGATAATATCATTTTTTTTATTGATGTACAAGAAATGATCAGGGTTGGGTTGTTATAAGAAATTAGTCGTCCATGTAGCTACATTTTGTTTTGTTAGTGTTAAGATTTACCCGAATGCAATAATTTTAAGAATTAAGTAAAAAGGAAGCTAATAAAAAATGATAAAAAGGATAACGATAAAAATTAATTGAAAAAAAAAGAAACGCGTGACTTTACTTGTTAACGAAGCAATCAATTTGATTTAAATAAATTAATTGAATTTAAATGGAAAACAACATATAATGTCAATTCACAATGACGTAGTTATACTTGATGACGTCATTTGTAGACAAAATGTGATATAATTTGTAATTTAACATGTTCGCTACCAGAGTCACATATATCTATCATAATATTTTGTATCATATGTTTTAAAACACCTGCAATTCAGAGTCTGACAAAAAATCTATAAAATAATATAATATAATAATATGCATAGTCTATAGTAATATTGCTTTGTTTTATGTCATTTCATAATATAAGAAAAGAAATAATCTATGATGGACGAATTCCTAATTAAATACTATTACTGAACATGTTAAATTGACAACAGACATCTAGTGAGCATAGTGACTGTAAAATGTAGTGAAAAAGATATTAATATCTACTTAGACCAGAATTTAAGGATGACTTTCCATAAAAAGATGGAAAAACATCCTTTGATGATGTGCGATGATGTCCCACGATGTCCCACGACGATCTTATTTCTTCGACTACTCAATGAATCAGCTCAAAGATTCCATAAAAATGAGAAATATATTGAAAATGAGTGTCACACACAACGACCAACTATTAAATAGAATAGCTGTCCGAAGCATGCAACAAAAAAAAGGAATTTTTGAGCGGATTTCATTGAAGTAGTCCTTTTTCGTCCGGGCCTAGAGCCGCGGGCGAGCTTACATACTAGGTATAGACCAAGATTTAATCAAAATCAATTAACTCAAAAGTAATTGATTCCAATTATACTACCCCAGGTGCAGACCTTTCACCGGACCTATAAGCCTACCCGAAAGAGAAATGTGATCGGTCTGCTTTCCTGGCCCTTCCTACTTACATCTAAATCACACACACCAGAAGTAAGCTACCTGCCTGCCTATCCCTATATTTAAAAAAGCAAAATTCATTCATTCCAACACACACACTCCACGGTACTCACACACAACACCCGGGTGCAAGCCTACCCTAGAGAGAACGTCCCGGGACGCCTCCGTCACCCAAGCTTGTAACACACACATTTATACTTTATGTACGTACCATTTGCTGTAATCGACTGACAACGTAGCGTATATTGCGTTATTATTAATATAATATTAATGTATTGTGTCATATAAAACTCTTATTGGAATGTAAAATTATTTATGCTGTAATGCTGACTTTGAGTCATTCTGTTCTTTATAAAACTAAGTACAGTAATAATTAGTATTTCATTGATTTAAAAAAAGAATATGGTATTCAAATGGTATATTTTCTTCATATATTGTAAAATATTATTATGATTTTTATACATTAAATATTCTCAAACAAGTATCCATTCAATGTAATATGATTGTATGATATTATACATACAGTATGTAATATGGAAAATATTGATTAGATATGTAACATATTTATTCTGTATGTATTTATATAAACTATTTTAGTTGAATAATAAAATCGACGTACATTCCACTAATTTAAACACACACACACACATGTGAAACGTACATCGTCCACGATACGCTAATACGTTTGTCAATCGCTGTAATATTCCTTAATTCTAAAACCGTACCCACCGCCCTTACCCAACAACGCACACCTGGGTTCGTTGATGAGCTCAGGCTAATAAGTAATGAATACGGGCAAAGAAATAATACACCTACCGTGTGAAGCTGAAAATCCTAAGCTAAAATGATAGATTAATACATAGTAAAGCTAACGGGCTAATAAATACTTTAAATTTGAAAATAAATTATTATGTAAAACATTCTTACGTTGGAACTGTTTTCTTTGAACTGATGAGATTGAAATTGATTAGAAGAATAAAACATTAAAAAATGATTCTATTTGTAATACAAGACTCCGATTATTAAAAATTAGAATAAAAAATTAGAATTGAATGAAATAATTATTAAAATAATTTTATTAAAATAATTAAATTGTATTTAATCATAGCTAAAGAAAAAAAATGTGTAAAAAAAAATCACTCTACTTTAAGCAAAAACTTGAAATATCTGTTAAATGGTTGGAAATGCAATTTAATAATTAATATACATGTAATACATCCTCGGTTGATTGCATGTCGAAGTAAATTGTCTAAGTTACATCAAATGTACATTTGAAAATGTTACTTTGACGTTAGAATCTAACCGTCGCGAAATGTCTTCTTGCTCATAAAACATATTTAAATCAACAATATAATAATATACTGCATTGAAATATTATAGTATAATCAATGTATTGTAGCAAATGTACGTAATATTTACTGCATATAAAATATACAAATTTTGTATACATTATTAAAATTTAAGTATCTTTTAATTAAAAAAATATTTTAAAAGTTGTATTTTATTTGTGAAATCGGAGGGTCATCCGACTTCTATTCTACAAACTATTTTTTAAAAAGAAACAAGAAGACCCTAGCCTGAACTAAGAAATACAACAATATAAAAATGAGAAAAGATATGAAAAATATGTAATATATTTCCATGAGTATACATCCACTCATGGGTCACTATGCTCACTTAAAATAAGAATAAAATTGGTAACTCTTGGGACTCACCGAACTGGTGAGTGGCTGTTGAAAAGTAGCTGGAAGAAAGCACCCGGCGGATGGTCTCCTAAGTAGATTGATGTAGTAGGTAGGGTGTTGACATACAGGCACTGATTGATAATTCGGTAATTAAAAGAACAATAATATTACATTTGTGCCATTTTAAATTTACCATAATAATTTACTGCAACTACTTAATAATAAAACTTACCTTTAATTTGACGAAGATTCATTTAATGGTTCCATATCAAGCTTTTGATGTTTTATTCGAATGTACCTCTGCAACAAAAGAAAACACATTTTTTCACATATATGCATATATCAGTGGTACATCAGGTATATTCAACCAATTAATATTTCAAAAAATGTCCATATCCACAAAACATAAATTTTTGAATAAATATTTTGTAATTCTTTAACATTAATCAAATTTGCATGCCTATTATATTATTAAACGTGTCTATCACCGTATAAAAGTTAATTCTGAATTGTGAGAATGTGATAATCAACAAATACGAAAGCTTGAACAATGGCTGGAATAAGTGAGACATTTGAATTTCCCGCTATAAAGTATCGAAGATTATCGACGCCATGTTGAAATAAAATCAAGATTACTTTTCTCAACTTTAAACTCCAAAATATAAGAAACAAAGTAGAAAAATATAAGATATTGACGGGATTTAAGAAATTGTCGGTATAAAAGCAGAATAAATGAAGGAAATATTTTTTTAATTCGTATCTATATCGGCAGAATAGTCAAAAACTGTAAAATCAAGTATCACGATTTATAACAGTAAATTATGAGAAATATGTATTGAAAACATGAAAAAATGCAATAATGTTAAAGAAATTATTGATATAAAGGGAAAATAATTCAGATTCTGTTCTTCCAACTTCACTGTCAATTCACGGCAAGAGCAAAAAATTTTACTTCGCGTATTTTTGAAGATAATGTCGAATTAATGTCAAAAAACAAAGAGCTAGACTTCTTTTCGGCTATTCTTTCTCTTTTTTGTATTTTCAACACCTAAAAGACAATTTAATTTAATGTTTGAAGATAATTTAATCTTACCTGTTGCAGACACGTGCATAACAGACGAAGTTTCGAAGAGAAATGCTGCACTGCGTCACAAATCAAAGCATTCGCTCACACAACGACGTGCCTGATTGGTCGAAATGAGAGGACGCCAACATGGCGCGACCAACCACAGCCATTGGTAGAAGTTTCGAAACTGTAATACTAATCGTAATGGAAACGTTCATACAATAAATATCAACGAAAAAATCGAATAATGTACTTTTTTTAGCAACACCCGTCTTGTATTATATTTTATATTATTGTAATTATGTAATAAATAAAGGGAAATATTACTTTAATAACACTTTCCTATGGTGTGATTTTGATAAGAAATATTTAAGAATATATTATTTCCGATATAAATTTTGACACTTATGTGCAATGTATGCACAAAAATTATGTAGAAAAATTATAATCAATCAAAAAAGCATAGAATTCTTACCAGGTAGTGAAAACATTGTGGGGAATACTGATCGAAGATAAAGAAGAATTCAATCCCCATAATAGTGAGTGGGGATTTTAGCTCGCAAATCGATAACCACAATCAAGTATAGAAGAAATAGTAAAAGAAAAAACAAATGTAACACAACAGAAAAGCAGAAGATGTTGTACTAAATTGTACAGGAAGATGCTATGGCAAACAATGGAATAAATTGACTTGATAATACTAGATAGATATAATCACGTTTCAAGAAAAAGCAGGTATTTAAATAAGATTAATGAAAATTTCATTTATCAATAAAAATCAAATGGAAAATCAATAAAGTGAAGGACAACGCAGAAGATGAAGTTGAGATAGTGAATGGAAGACTCATTTGGAATAACATAAAATCTAATGAATATCTAAACATGTTAGCAACCTCAGTAACAGCGACTAAAGTACCAATGAATACTTTCTATAACAATATAATTGCAAAAATAAAAGTAGAAGCAAACAGATCTGTTGATTAGGGATAATAATGCATAAAAAAAGCAGATCAAAAAACATGGTTTGATTAAAAATGATACGATTCTTGTAGGAAGATGAAGGTTAAATCAAAATTAACAACACTCTGTGTACACAAATAGCAAATGGAAAAAGCTTCTCCTTACAATTAATCAACAAAATATAACATTGTCTTACCATGTTTCTCTCTAGTATCAAACTTATATTTAATACTATGGTATTAATACTATTGTATTAAATATAACATAGATTTAGAGGAAGATAGGAAAGCTTGATATACTCTTGTATTATCTGCTTAATGTACAATAGAAAACTGTATGTTATTTTATCAAATGCTCTCAATCGATATGAACAAATGAGTGATTATTTTGATTTTGTTTGGCTGTGTAACACAGGAATCTTTTTTTGCCTAAAATGCTGCTTTTTTTTAATTATTAAAGCAACAACACTGCATTTACATTGGCAAGGATTCATTTAATAGTGTTTTATTTCTTATCCAAATATAATTCTGTAAAATAAGAGTACATATTTTTGCAAACATGTGTTTCAATGATACATCATCTGTAATCAACTAATTATTATTTCAAAAAAAACTACTCATACTTAAAAGAATTTTTTAATAATTTTTTTTAAATCATTAATATTAATCAAATTTCCATGATTATTATGTTATTATACATGTTATTCATTGTATAATTTTGAATTGAGATCATCAATAATCAACAAATACAAAAGCTTAAATATTGGTTAGAATAAATGAGATATTTGGATTTCTAGCTAACAAGTATAGAAGGTTATCAACGTCATATTGAGCTAAAGTTAAGACTACTTTTTTTAGCATAAAACATAAAAATGTCCAAAGTGGGCAGTATGTCCAAACAGAGATCATAATAATATTGAGACCATAATGATAAGTGTATCAGATATCAAAGTTACAAAAAATACAAGACAAAGTTGAAGAGAAGACCGGAGCCATGACTTCTGACATCATTTCCACATTGTCTTCAGAAATGCGTAAGCTGAAAATTTATACCCTATTTTGTCGATACCTACACGAATTAAAATAACATATTTCACTTTTATTCTGCTTTTATGGTGATAATTTATTAAATACCATTAATATCCTATGTATTTTTCTATCTTTTTTCTTATTTTGGTGCTTTAAAGTGAAAAAGGTAATCTTGACCTTATTTCAATATGGTGTTGATAATTTTCAACGAATCTTTCCGTTCTTTTAATGTTAAAGTTTCAAAGCAATTCGAAGTTTCTACCAATGCCTGTGATTGGTCGTTCCATTATGGCGTCCTCATATTTAAACCAATCAGATTCATTGTTGAATGGTGTGTGGCGCGGAGTGTGGTGGAGTGCAACAGTCCTCATCGAAGCTTCGTCCGTTTGGCACGTGTCTGCAACAAGTAAGATTAAATTATCTTCAAATATTAAATTAAATTGCCGATCGGGTGTTAACAGCACAAAAAACAGAAAGAAACATCGAAGTGAAGTCTGAATTCTTAATCTTTAACATTAATTCGGCGTTTTCTTCAAAAATACGCGAGTTGAAAATTTTTGCTCTCGCCACGAATGCGTAATAAGAGTGGAACAGCAGAATCTGAATTATTTTCTCTTTTATATCGTTAAGTTCCTAACCATTATTGAATGTTTTTAGTGCTGTTTTACACAATTTGCTGTTTTTAATTTAATAACGTTCTTTCTTGAGCATCGTAATATTATTCCTGTTTAGACCTGTTCGTGTACTTGCTTAGGTATCGGCCAATAGCAGAATATACCGAACATTGCCGAGTGTTGTCGAAGTGCCGACCGGTCTACGATGGGAAGGAAGGTCTCGCCATTGCTCTCTCGAGCGTCGAAGTGAGAAGACGAGTTTAGGTCGCGCTCCCGCATAAGCAATACAAAAGTACGCATAGTCTATTTAAATAATTTGCATAAATTATCGACTTCGATCGTTTGTTTATTTGTTGGTTAAATTTAATTTGCATAAATTTTTATTTTTTATTTGTTACAGATATTTATTTGACTTCAAAAAGGCGCCATGGGATACGACGCCATTGATATTGGTTCGAAATATAATTTTGTAAAGGGTATATAATATAATTGGTAACGTTTTAATTTATTATAATCAATTATTAATGCTTTTTTTGAATCGTTGTTAAGTGTAAGCATGTTTGATAATTAATTGGTATCAAGGTCAAGGAAAAAAAGATTAAAGAAATTTTCTTTTGATCAATTAATAGAAAAAGAATAATTAATTTTTCATTTTATTAAATAATTTCAACTAATAATTTAATACGTGTGTTTTAAATTAGAACAAAATTGAAACAACGTGTATTCTACTGCAGATGATTGCTTTTCTTCAACAATTATTTAATTATATTTTCATTATTTTAAACAATTTGTTTTTATTAAATCATAGTAATTATATTATAATATACAGCTTTTGATGCAAGTTTAAATTAAAACAGAATCACGTTATTAAATCACATGCTGTTTAAGCATGATTAATTATTGGACTTTACTTATTGAAAAGAATTAGATAATTTATAAATCATGCCGTAACAGAATTTCCAATAATTTGTAATATGCTTACAATCTTAACAACAAAAATCCTCTGCTTTAATACAATAGTCTATTATCTTTATTACAAAATGATTTTCTATCGATCTAATATTCATTGAAATAATTATCAACAATTATTCAAAACATTTCATTTCAATCTAGGATCAATATTCAGCTTTAACAATATTTGTGCTCGTCCAATATATTTCACGAACATAGATATTTTCATATACAAGTCATTAATAACAGTATTTCCGTTACGAATGTTCAATAAGAAGAATGTTGTTTTGTATATTTCCACCCAGCCCATTCCTGTTCACTAAGTTTTTCTTTCAGGAATTGTTGTGGCCGCGCGCAATGCGGTCGGTAGAGTCAGTGTTTGTACGTACATATTTCCAATGTTTTGATTTTTTCAAGGGTGAACTGGCCCTGAATAGAGTTGCGCTTGTACAGTTAGGAATCACGCGAAAGTAGAGTCAGTGTTTACTGCGTATAATAAAATATTTTCTAGAGCATCGCGGCTCTGATTTTCCTTTTTCCATCGTGAAAGTAGAGTCTTTACAATTGTTCGCCGGAAATTATTCACGGTCGCGTTACTATTTTTATTTTTAATTTTTTTTTAATTGCTCGATATATTCGGGATTAGAGTCAAAGCACCACTGAAGAGGAGTTTTGGGCGTTGCTCCATAAGGAAAGAGTGTAAGTATCTTATTACTTTATTTAATTAATTTTAATTGAAATAGAATAATTTACAATTTCAATACTTGATAATTGAAAGTTCTTAATTGCTATTGCTAATATTTTATAAAATTCAATTTCATATATAATTTTATTAGAATAAAAATTGATAATTTGCAAAATTAACCGTAATTCTTTTTTGTTTTGTTACAGATGAATTTTTTGATTGCCGAGTTCCTGGATATCCTGATGATGGCTTTCTTCACGACTTCCGTCTTGGTACGTTACTTAATTGCTTTTTATTAAAATAGAATAATTTACAATTTCAACCCTTGATAATTGAGATTTCTTTTTAATTGCTAATATTTTATAAAATTCAATTTCATATATAATTTTATTAGAATAAAAATTTATAATTTTCAAAATTAACCGTAATTTTTCTTTTTCTGTTACAGATGAATTTCTTCACGACTTCAGTATTCTCCTACAAGGCAGCCTCCTACCTGGTGTTGTCCATCCTCCTACTTGACTGTCGGAAGAAGAGTATATCTGCGAACGGTGAGTCGCATGTTTTATGGTTCCTCTGGTGCCCAATCATGTCGTAGGACGAATGGTCCGAATCGACACGGGCTACTAGTTGTATACGTGCTTGGCAAGCATAGTGACCATGGGTATGATTATACATACCCATGAGTAGTAACATTTTTATTGTTTCATTTCATTTAGTTAGGCTAGGTCTTCTTGTACTCCGCGTTTTAATATCGTTTCAATTCCACATATTCTAATAGATATTTTTGAAATATATGAATGCTCTTAAATATTCTTAACTGTGGAATTAGAATATTTTAATACTGAAACAATTTTATTTAGTTTGTCTGTAATAGAGAAGTCAAATACTATCAGACTTAATTATTGCGATGGTTCAAAGCAATATAATATTAATAGTATTATGTAATCTGTATACTGGATATACATATTAATGATGCTGTTACATTGATTTAATTACATTTTGTACACTATAAATTCAAATATGATTTGAGAATTTTTTAAAACTTCATTCATTCAATAACGAAGTTTAACTTATTTACACGTTCATGAAAAAATGAACAATTTATGTGCAAGAAGACAATTCGTGACGGGTAGATTTCCAAGTCAGAGTGATTTATTTCAACACATTTTGCGTATTCTTGAAAATCTACTCTGAGGAGGGAGTCGCCCGAGGATGTTTTATTAATTTTCACAATAAATTCTTGTTTCATTGCAAAGAATTCATAATTAGAGACATTAAATTCTTTTTTATTAAAATTTTGCATTTCTTAAATTAGTGTTGCGAAAAATTTCCAGCGCGAGAGTAAATATGACGTTGCACTGACTAGTATTCGGTGGGAATCCTTTTGGTTTTTAAACTCAATCCTTTTTATTATTTAATTAATCAAATTAGTTACAAGGATTCCGCGGCATAAGACCGTGAACACCATCTCTGGGAGATATACCCATGCATTACTAGGCCTTTGCAGGCGCAGCTTTAGAATACGGAACATATGAAAATATGTTACCATATTCTAAACTGCAGTCCTTTTGTCTATACTATGGGCGTCCGTCAATCTGACACCGTTGGATGCAACGTGTTGGACGGGCGGGTAGCGCTCTTAGCGAAGGGGTGCACTCTGTCCTGGCGTTACGACGTCCAGGCGGGGTGGGTGGTATGTAGCGTCTGGCGTAAGTCTAGGGGGCGTGAGACCCTTCGTTGCCAGCTGATATTAGCAGTGCACCATGTTTGCGTCATAGTTGCTCAATATTGCTTTCAGTATTTGCTATTAAAACTTTATATTTACAAAGTCGAGTCACTTTTATTAAAATAGTGAAATATTAGCCCGTTAGATGTTTATGTACTAATCATGTTTGTAGATCAGGATTTTCAGATTTAACCCCTTCCGTGTTTATTGCCAAAGCCCATTCACGTGCCCAGGTGCTACTTGGATGGGTAGAGGCAATGGGCACGATGACCTAGTTCATAAGAATAATAATTAATAAGCGGCTGGCATTGTGTTAGTATATCGTGCACGACGTAATCTCCACATATGGTGTGTGTGTTTTTAGGCTGTGGGATTGCGTCGGTTTAATAACTTTTTCATTTACTTTTAATTTGAAATAATATTTTATTCAACAAGATGTACGATGAACGTATAAACCAAATACTATTGTTATCATTACTATTACCATGATTATTACCATTACTATGAAATATTCTATATCAAAGTAGTTAATTAAATTTTGTAATTATCATTATACGCAATGATTGCTAGCCTTGCCAGACGATTTCAGTGAAAAATGGTACGTACCGTAGAGTGTGATGTGAGATGAAACTCGGGTGACGGAGGCGTCCCGGGACGTTCTCCCTAGTTTAGGCTCTTGCGCCCGGGTGGAGTGTATGGGGGTCGTGGAATGAATTTTTGCGAGAATGTGATTTTGCCTTTTTTAAATATAGCGTTAGGTAGGTAGGTAGTATACCTTCTGGTGTGTGTGATAGATTGTAAGTAGGTAGGGCCGGGGCAGGTTGTCACAGTCTCTTGGTCGGGTAGGCGCGATTTCGCGTGATCAACCTGTACCTGGAATATATTTGAAGAATTGACGATACGATCGATACGAACGGAGTATGCCGTTCGCCTTCGAATCTATCTGTACAATTTTTCAAATTTTTGGCGACTTCATAAGTCGTCACACGCGATCGCGATGGCACGAAACGCACAAGTTCTGCTCGAGCACGGCACGTGTGCACGAACAACGACTTATATAAAGTCCTTTTTCGTCCACGTGTCAATTAGAGTTTCGCGATTTTTCTTTTTTGTTGATTGTTTTTTTTTTTTGTTTTGCGAATTTGCAAGTCTCGAGCTTTAGATATAAGTTTCAGGTGGGTGGACCGCCCGAAGAAAGAAAAGGCTATATGCCGAAGCGCCCCGACAAACTGTCTTTCAAGAGGGGAACTACTAATGATTTTGCATCCTTTTGCAAAAAAGGATGGGAAATCATTATCGTTACTACTTTGTCACTGTGCTTGCCTGTAGTTGTAGTTTTGTAATTTCAGGACAAGAGGGGGCCCGTGACCCCCATGATTTTGGGCAAATCGCGTTTTCAATTTAGTGTTGCGAATATTGACCACGGTTCAATTTAGTGTTGCGAATGAATATCGATCACGGTTCAATTTAATGTTGCGTATGCATGATTATCGCGATTTTCATTTAGTGTTGCGAACTTTAAATATCGCGTTTCTTTCTTGCATTGCTTTAAAATGGAATTTAACTTTTCAATGTTGATTGCTTTAAGATTTTTGAGAGTTTTGCTTTTTAGTGTTGATTGCTTTAGTGTTGCGAGTAAAAAATTCACGGTTTGAGAATCCCCCTTTTTTGCATTTTAATTGCACGTCTGTTAAAGAGAGCGTTGCGAATGATATTAGCGCGATTGTTTCCCAGTGTTGCGACTTATAAATACGCGATTGCTTTGCATCAGTTTATAGAGTTCCCTGCTAATTAGTGTTGCGGTAATGAATATTCGCGTTTTGCATTAGAGTTGCGATATATGATGAAATGCCCAAAAACGATCCAGTGGAGTTGCCATAGTCCATAAGGCAGCTATGGACCAGCTGCCATGATACAGCCTTGGATTGGCTGTACCCCTTTTTTAGATTAGTGTTGCGTCTTACAAAATTCGGTAGATTTGAGTAGTGTTGCATTACAGTTCGCGTTTTCTCTTTTTTTCTTTTTTTCAGCTTAGTGTTGCGTATAATGGAGCAGCCTTCACGCGTATGCTTTTGTACATATTATATAATTAATGAAATTAGTGTTGCGAGTAAAAAATTCACGGTTTGAGAATCCCCCTTTTCTGCATTTTAATTGCATGTTTGTTAAAGATAGTGTTGCGATAGACATTAGCGCGATTGTTTCCCAGTGTTGCGACTTATAAATACGCAATTGCTTTACATTAGTTTATAGAGTTCCCTGCTAATTAGTGTTGCGGTAATGATATTCGCGTTTTGCATTAGAGTTGCGATATATGATGAAATGCCCCAAAACGATCCAGTGGAGTTGCCATGGTCCATAAGACGGATTGGCTGTACCCCTTTTTTAGATTAGTGTTGCGTTTTACAAAATTCGGTAGATTTGAGTAGTGTTGCGTTACAGTTCGCGTTTTTTCTTTTTTTCTTTTTTTCAGCTTAGCGTTGCGCATAATGGAGCAGCCTTCACGCATACGCTTTTGTACATATTATATAATTAATGAAATTAGTGTTGCGACTGAATTCGCGATTGTTATTAAATTTTTTACTTTTTTGCATTTATTAAATTAGTGGAAGTAACTATGACTCACATTCGGTGGGAATCCATTGCTAGTCAAGGATTCCGCGGCATAAGACCGTGAACACCATCTCTGGGAGATATACCCATGCATTACTAGGCCTTTGCAGGCGCAGTTTTAGAATACGGAACACTTCCATATGTTACCATATTCTAAACTGTAGTCCTTTTGTCTATACTATGGGCGTCCGTCAATCTGACACCGTTGGATGCAACGTGTTGGACGGGCGGGTAGCGCTCTTAGCGAAGGGGTGCACTCTGTCCTGGCGTTACGACGTCCAGGCGGGGTGGGTGGTATGTAGCGTCTGGCGTAAGTCTAGGGGGCGTGAAACCCTTCGTTGCCAACCGATGTTTTGTCATAGTTCAGAAATGTTTGCAATTTTGAAATTAGTGTTGCGTGTGATTTCGGTTTGTTTTATAGGGTTTGCTTAGGGATTGCTCTTATGGGCAGTCAAACTTTTCTTTTCAGGTTCCCCTGTACCTTCCCTCCCACTGCCACGCCCCCATTCTTTTTTCTTCCCATTTTTTAATTTTGAAAATTTTGAGCATTCGGTTATTGGAAATACTGTTAAATAATGTATGAATTTAATGTTTTCAGGATATTATTAGATACGATAAAGTTTTAAAGAGAACTTTATTCAAAGTTTCATTTAAAATGGAAATTCATTTTATTTTTTGGTGATTGGTGATAATTTATTTCAAGGAATATTTGTTTATTCGAGATAGCTTATTAATTTTTATTTTACTTTATTTAAACAAAAGTAGTGGATAATTGTTGTTCGAGTTGTTCAGTTTTAATTTTTGATCGCGATGTTTCGTTTCAAGCTTACGGAGAAGCTAATTAAAGTAGTGTTCTTTTATAAATTTTCAAATTCTTTTCCTGTAAACTGAAGTCCAATCGCGATTTTGGTTTAGTTTTACTATTTACAACAAACTTGCACTATAAAGGTGTATTGATTAATATAATGCAATAAAGTTCGGTAGAGTCATGATTGTATGTACTTACATTGCAATGAAATACAATTGTTTCAATTAAAAAATTGCATAGTATTTATCGATAAATGAACGAACATTAAGTTTGATAAAATGAAGTAATTAATATTCCTAACTCAAATCATTTATTGAATGACAGTATACGTTTCTAAATCATTTTTTTCATTATTTTGGTACTGAAATCCAATTGATTTTCCCTCTTTTCATTGGAAATGAGTTATTCACAACTACTCTAAATTTGGAAAATTTTATTTGTATTAATGCATCTTCTTTTCAGCCATTAAATTTTGTTTGTCTTTGTA